TCACAAAGAAATAAAGATTCCAGACCACGGTAATCTTAAGGGATATAATAGTAGGAGTTATATTATATAACACAAGCATAAAAATGCCACCCTTATATCCAAATGTACACCTCTCCTCGATAAGCTACCCTTATCCCATGGTACACCTCTCATTGATATGCCACACTTATCCCATGGTATACCTCTCCTTGAGCCAAAGACTTTTAGTGAAGCCTATAGTGATCAAAATTAGATTAATGCAATGAATGAAGAGATGGAAGCTCTTCATAGGAATGGGACTTGGTATATCAATGAGTTACCTAATAATAGAAAAGCTATTGGTTGCAAATGGGTTTATAAGATTAAATATAAATCAAATGGTGAGATTGAAATATATAAGGCTAGATTAGTTGCTAAGGGTTATAGTTAAATAGAGGGTCTTGACTATGAAGAGACTTTTTCTCCCGTTGTCAAGATGGTTACCGTTAGATGGATTATAACTCTAGCAGTCCAGTTTAAATGGCCTTTATATCAATTAGATGTGAACAATGCTTTTCTATATGGTGACCTAGTAGAGAATGTTTACATGACCCTTCCTGAAGGATATTATAATTCTGATGATAAACATGTTTGTAAGTTAGTTAAATCTCTATATGAATTAAAACAGGCTCCATGTCAATGGTACGCTAAACTTTCATCATGTTTAATTGAAAATGGGTTTGTGCAAAGCATCAGTGATTACTCTTTGTTTACTAAGCATATTAATTCTGTATTTCTAGTTCTGCTTGTGCATGTTGACGATATCGTTATTACTGGTAATAATTAGAATGAAATAAATGCTTTTAAAGAGTTCTTAAAAGGAAAATTTTTAATAAAAGATCTGGGAAAATTAAAAATTCTTGGGAATCAAAATTTTAGAATGCAATGGTGGTGTTTTCATGTCCCAAAGAAAATATTGTTTGGAGTTGTTAAATGATTTTGGTTATCTGGGTTGCAAACCTTTAAATACCCCTATGGACGTAAATCTAGTTATCTATGCTTCAAAAAGTTCTAAAGACACTCCTTTACTTGATTGTTTTGGGTATCAGCGATTAATAGGTAGGTTGATATATCTTTTTGCCACTCGACCGGATATAGCATTTGTTGTGCACTGTTTAAGTCAATATATGCATGCTCCTAGACAATCACATTTAAATCTTGCATTAAAAATTCTCAGGTATCTTAAACTTTCACCTTGAAAAGGAATCAGTCTTCCAAGGTCAGATTCTTTTTACTTAACTGCTTATGTAGATGCTGACTGGGGTAAGTGTCTTACATCTAGAAGGTCTGTAACAGGTTTTTGTTTATTTCTTGGAAATTCCTTAATTTCATGGAAGAGCAAGAAACAGAATATTGTTTCTCGTTCCTCAGCCGAATCAGAATACAGAGCAATGGCCTCTGTATCCTGTGAGATTGTTTGGGTTCTCAAAATTTTATCAGATTTAGATGTTAACAGTCTTATTCCTGTCAGTTTATTCTGTGATAACAAATCTGCCATACAAATTGCTAATAATCCAATTTTTCATGAGAGAACAAAGCACATTGAAATTGACATTCATTATATCAGAGAAAAAATAAGCAGATGAGTGTTAAAAATTGTCAAGGTTCCTTCATTTGAACAAACTGCAGATATTCTAACCAAAGCGCTCAGTATTAATCATCACAATTATCTATGTTCAAAATTAAAGATGATTGATCTTTTTAAAAGTCAAGATTCAGGGCGGGTGTTAAAATACACATTTTATTCATTATCCAATCTTGACTTAACTAACTTCACTTTTAATGTATCTTGATTGTTAATGTTTTAACAGGATTGGGTAGATTCTGTAAATAAAGAAAAGATGAAATTGATATCTAAGTAGAAGGGGCACGCCTCACATGTTGGAGAAGTTGGAGGTTAGCGGAGCACTTAGCTGGAGTCTTGAAGGGGTAAACCTGGACAACTATAATTGTTATATAAAGCTGTCATCACTGGCAACAGCTAGTCATTTCAACTCATTTTTCCATATCTCATTCTATTGATTCTCTCTAGATTTTTCACATAGAAAAGAAGTTATCTCAATATTATTCAAAGATCGATCTCCGATCTATACATCCTAATACTGTTATTCGTTGTAATAGTTTTAGATCTGATATTACTGTGTTACATTCTTGTTATCATTCTTGTATTCTTTTATTAAGTAGTCTTAATTAGAAATCGTTTGAATATGATAAGTTTTTCAAAAACTAACAAGAGTAAAACGTGAAAATGTGATAGGATAATTATGGTTAATTAAAATAAAATAAAAATTATAAAAATTACTTAATTACATTACTGCCCTTGTTAAATTATTTATGTATATAATAAAAGTTAATTTATTAATTAAAAAAGTTTGAGGCTATTAGGTTGTTCTCTCGCTCTCGTAAATCATAGGGGTTCTCGTTTGAACCTCCACCTATATATATATATATATATATATRTRTRTGTGTGTGTGTGTGTGTGTGTGTGTGTGTGTGTGTGTTATGATAGTACCTACCTCATAGGTATTCTGGAGGAAGAGTGACACAATCTTTTAGAAGTTCTCATATCTTCTAAAAGATTGCTTGTCCTCTACACAAAAGTCAAATTGACAAGTCTTTACTTGTCAATCATGTCCCACCAAAATCTGATTCAATAAGATAGAACCGGAATTAATAGGATAAAATAATTAAACTCTTTTAATCTTTATTCTCCATATTTATAATTAAAATCTGACCGGTTGGGACTTTATCACACTGACAATAATTATAAATCATATTTATAATTATAAATGAAAAGTAACATCTAACAATATATCATCGTTAATCAAATGATAAAGTTTGATGATTCAACTAATCAACAAATTGTGTGACCATTGTTAGTGTACACATTTATGTCCCTTCGTTCAAATATCTTGATTAAACACGAGGCATGGATGTGTCATCCTCGTTATGTTCGATCTTTAGTTTCTCAATCCCCGAGTATACTGATAAGACATACATCAATATCCTATATTGATCATCTGAGCATACATGCATTTACTGAATGCTACTTAATTGAGGGGCTAGGGAGATCACTCTCGTCATATAAGAGAAACAAATTCTATCTGGATCCATGCTAATATTACTAAGTGATATGCGATATATCTAACAACCATTCTGTCACCCAGTTACAAAATGATTAAAGAACCAGTTATTAAAATACACCACTCATACAAAGCAAATTCCATGATCTCAAGTCAAAGGGTACAATGATCACATGAGAAATGTCTATGACACTCATCCAATGAAACGTTCTCATAGCGAGTCATTTTCCGTACACAAGATCCCATCTTGTACCCATATGTAGATTTTGTATCTCCATATAAATCCCTACATATACTAGTCGTACCGTATTAATTCAACCAAAACCCAAATTAATACGTGACTAGGGACATCTTAGAATGCATTATTCCAAGGTTATTATTATGTTCAAATATAACACGTAATAATGCATAAACATAATAATTGGGCAATGTCTTTCATTAATAAATATCATGACACAATGTCCAAACAGAATCATCCAATGATCGGCTTTTGGGCATATACACTAACATAGACTAGGTATGTTGTAAGTGTGAGAGCGTTAAGCGATAAAGAGGCCCATGAGGGGAAGTTGGAAGTTCTAAAATGAGAATGTAAATAGGATACCGCACGAGGACTTTCAGGCGATGTTGGGAGTTGTACACGCCATGAATAAATTGAGAAAGGAAGTTTGGAGTGCTTTGGTCATGTTCGTAAGACATATGATAGCTCATGTGAGGAGGATATAAAGTGTGATGATCGAGGGAGCAACAAGGAGCGGTAGGCCAAGGAGAATATGGGATGAGCAACTAAGGTTAGACATGACAACTTTAGGCATTTCCAAGAACATGACGTGTGATACGAGTTATTGAATACAGATTATCAGAGTAGCAGAATAGGGGTCAAGATCTATAGTTAGCATAAATAGGAGGGTAGGGTTAGTGAGTCGTATGTTGGTTGTGTGGCTTCTTAAGTTGGCTATGTTTTCTTGTACCTACTTCTGCTTATATGATGTTGTTGACTTCTAACTTGATTATAGTGTTTTCTAGTTTTTTTCTTTGAGGTCTCTTTTAGATCTTCACCTTTTGCTCTTACCTCTTTCTAGTTGAGGTAACTTTATATTTTTTCTTACACACTTCTCATAAGTCAAGGGTGTTCACGGAAACGGCCGCTCTACTCCTTGAGGGTAGAGACCAAGTCTGCGTACATCCTTCAAATACCACTTTCAAGTGGGATATATTGGGTTCATTTAGTTCAGTTTGGTTACTTCTAGTATCTTCCACCATTGTAATCTCACTTTAAAGCTTAGGAAGTTCTTGCAATAGCTGTTCAAATTTTAGGTCTTGGGTCAAAGGTACTTAGCTTCCCCTCTTCTGGTATTAAATCCTTATACATTCATTTTCATGAGTTTGGTGGCACATGCATTTTTATTTGGTAGGTTTTGTACAACTGATGATTCTTTGGGCCATTGAGAAATGATAAATGCATTTTATTTAAGTGGTAAGTGTTTGTTTATCCTTATGGGGTTTGCGCATGCTTAAATTCTCAGACCCTACCTCCACGTGGGATATACTGAGTTTGTTTGTTTTTAGTTGCAAATGGTGAGTACTGTTTTACGATAACATAGATATCATGAGTCCAAAATCTAGTGAATTAACCATCAATGCACGGCTAATGTTCTTTCTAGATAAGTGACCAACACAGTTGGATTTAAAGCTTAAAAAGGTGAATTCATACCAGGAAGTAGGTGTGTAAGTTTATGCACAAAGTGCGGATATTTACGACAATGATCATCAGAAACAATTTTATAAGATTTTGAAGCATTCTTCTGTAAGACAGAAACGTCCTTAAATCTGTTAGAAGGTCATGCATTTAATAAAAATATGTCAGATCCAAAAATAACCATTGTAGGAAGAAGCTTGGGACAAAGTTTATTTATATTGCAATAATCGTGTGACAATGTTACAGAAATTGATATTACACAACACTCATTCTTCCGTGATTAAGTACAGCTTTTGGTCATCTATAATCATATCAACATCAAGAATTTTACCTGCATCTTCGGTTACTATACAAGAATCAGGGTGAAGCTGCAACTTCAACTGCTCTGCTGCCATTTTTATGAGTTTCTCAATGGTGCGTGGAATCCATACAACTACTCCAAACCTGCTCTTTTCCTTTGTTTCCCATGGGTGAAATGGATATATTGTACATTTCCTCGGATGCATTTTGTCTGTCATCAAATACCCATATGTTTTTTTTTGTCATAGAGATAAAAGTCAAATATTCCATCTACACACCAACTTTCAAAAGCGTCAGTTGGTTGAATCACAATTTTCTTTTAAATCCTTGGCCTTCTGACATGTTTTAGAATGCCACTTCCATACACAAGAATGCCACTAAACTTGTCAGAAGGTTATGTTAATAAAATTCTTATTTAAGGTTATTGAGCAAAAATTAAGATGAACCTGTTATTTCTTGAGAGCCTTGGGGGAGTTCCGACAACTGAACAGATTTTGCTTCTTCTAGTAGTTTGATCAGCAATTTGTTTCCGGACATTCTCCCCTCATCAAGTGGAGTATTACCCCATCTGCATATTCAAAGCATATAATGTTTTAGTTTCAAGAAAATACAGAATAATCTGGCACAGATGAGATGGATATTGATGTGCCCAACATATTTGCCTTCAATTTGATGGGAACACTCCAAATTTCTGATCATAGTCAAGGCTTCTCAGACTACAATCTATGAGTCATGTATTGTCGGAAACGGTAAATATACGAACACCCACTTCATATCATCAAACAAATTCTCTATAATTTCTTTAAAATATAGAAACAGAAGTTAAAATCTTCAAAAAAGATACATTCAGCTCCAAAAGTTTGTCTATTTCGGAGATTTCAACATTAATTATATTATTAAAATATTCAACATTAATTATATTATTAAAATATTCATATATTAAATATCCCAACAAATTTCAAATATAAAAATCACTTCCCTCTCTTGAGCATTAAATTTTTACGGAGAGCTCCAAATTTAGAGAAATCTCTCTATTTTGGAGAAGGTTTAATGAATATGAGTTTGATGGTAGATTAAATAGATGCCATAGCTTTATCAAATATAAAACTTATAAGCACCCACTGGTAACTTTATTAGCCCACCCCATCCCACAAGCTAACAGTAAGTGTATGCCATAGAAAAGTGTCATTTTCTTATTTCAGAATCATTAGCACTTGAGGAAACAGTCATTCTTTCAGGGCATTGATGTGTAACATGCTTCAAGTTTGTTTCATTTTGACAATGGAAAACTGACACCTCACCCCTCTATTGGCATATGGTGGCTTTTTGTTTCTATCTTTTCTGATTTAACTTCTATACATTACTATGCCATGTTCAAAGTCTAACCAATAGAAATCTAAAGAGGCGATCAATGTTGTACCTGTCCTTTGATAGAACACTAGCTCCAGCTTCCACCAGCATCTTAACTATTATATAAGATCCTTGTGACGCAGCTACATGAAGTGGAGTTCGGAAGTCAAAGTCTTTTGAGTTTGGATCAATGCCATTGCATAAAATCCTTCTGATATAATCAATATCCCCTTTTGCCACGGTTGAACACAAGAAACAACCGGCATCATCTATCTTCAATGAGGCACCTTCTTTGACTAGTAAGGAAGCCACCTTATCATGTCCACTCTTGATGGCTTCTAATAAGGGTGTGTTTCCAAAATTATCTACCAGCAAGATTAAACCACTCTGATCAGTTAAAATGTTGCATAAAACTCAAACACCAGAAGATAATTTAAGGAAGGAAATTTACCTAAAACATTAAGTTCAACACCTTCTTGAATAAGGAAAAGAGTGATATCTTCATATCCTTTTGATGCAGCAAGATGCTGTACACATCAAGAACTTGTTAGAAGCAGCGGTTTTCATTTTCAACTCTATATAATAAATCAGTGATTAAAGGATAAAATGGCATGTTGGGTTTAGCATAAGGTGAATGAAAGGATATCCTGATAGGGAAACTTGCATATGTGAAGTCGTTCGTAAACCAAGATGGATAAATAGAGAAAAAAGCATAAAGAGGACAAGAAATCCATAGCAGATCTAGTTATAGTCAAACTAATTAAGGGCAAGAGTAGATCACTTCTGTGGAGGTGTGAGGCAGCCAATATCTGTAAATGGCTGGTGGTGTTCAGAATTACATTCAGATATTGACATCTGTTGCAGCTTACATATTATACTGATAATTGTTGTGATTTATCTGGTTTGTGTTATCAAAAGAATCTGTAACAGGAAAATTCTTTTCATCCACATATTGACATATATCATTCCTAATCTTAGGAAATATGTGTATCAAGTGGGAACCCGAAAGGATATTTCAAAGCAGAATTGATTTGATATCTCTCTCTTCTTTTTACATGAATGGTAATAACTAGATTCAACATTCCTTATTTGTAAAGAAACCTCCGACCTTGCACGTTGAGAGTCATAGAGTTGCATCATCGTGCACAAACCTGGTAAGGACAACAAGTGCAGACAGGAAGATTTAAAACTATTACCTTTTAAATCAAAGATTTTGTCTAGAAGCTTAAGCTTTCAGATACATAGGGGTCATTGGTAATTTCCGGTCTAAAATTTCAAAATTTTCTTCTGCATTTAGAATTATGCATATGGTTTATTGATTGTATTGCTATCAGATAAATGTAGCTCAATGGACAATATAATAACCTTTGTTGTGAACACGAGATCTGAACCACAACACAGCAGGTTCTATGACATATATGATGCAGAAGGTTGCATTAAAAAGGTACATACCAATGGTGTCCTTCCATCATAATCTTTCTTGTTTGGGTCAGCTCCAGCTCGAATTAAGCTTTTAAGTTGATACAGATCACCATAATGAGCCGAACTGTTGACCCTCAGCGCAAGCTCTGCCTCTTGTTTTCCAATATGCAATATAATATCCGTCTCTAATTGCTTCATGCGATCATCAGTTGCCTTAAACTGCCAGCATATAATATCTTAGAAGGTGAATATCGGCTCTTCAACTTTTGAATCTTAATTTGGAAGAGTTCCTTTAAGTTTTAAATTTTAAATGAATCATATAAATAAATTTTATTACCTCTATTAGATTGTTCAGAATTTTTCGCCCATCATGAAAATATATCTCAAGGATATTAGAGAAAGATTGTTTGTCAAGCCGAAGAAGCCTACAAAGCTCACAAACTCGAACTGTATAAGGTTGGGGAATGTTACACAGAATAGAAACTTCTCCAAATGAGCTGTGAGGTTTTAGAATGGATACAGTCTCTTCAGATCCATCTTCACCTATACCAATTTCCTCCTGTACCCAAATTGATTTAATCAATCTTATAAAACCGAGTGCCAGATGATATCACAGCATAATCTAATGTCTACTGGAATAATGATGAAGATAAAGAAACAAGCAAAACTGGATGATGCATGGTCTCTATGCCATTTATTGGAGAAAGTTTTTTCGTCCTGTATGTATAACCAGCTCTAAGACAGTTTTCTCTTATATGGGTTGGGGAGAGCAGACTTTAGCATTCAAGCCTGAAAGCAAGTGGCAGGCTTGAAGAGCCCATATTATGCCTGTTAAACTTCTTAAGTTTATGAATACATGCATAGATATAGAATTGTATTTGCCGTATGGCTGCAGTTAATCTTTTATGCCAGATGGATGATCCTTTCAGGTGCATCAGACCAGTATTAATGTCCATACAATCTTATTTAACATACAATCGAATACGAATAAAGTAAATGCAGCCAAAAAAAGACTTGAATACAAAACAAAAAGACCATTACGGGAAGGAAGTTATACCAGCTCACCATGGCAGATGAAGTAAATTTGCTCAACCGCGTTGCCTTGTTCCATAATTACTTCCCCTGGGAGGAAAAACTCCTCGTGCACTTTAGTTACCTGGAAGAAGATCAGTTTATTGAGATATTACTAGATCAACTTCTAAAATCTCAGAATCATTTAAGTCACACAAGGTCCATCTCATCTAAACAAGGCGAACTCTTTTAAGGGTTAATACTTCAGAAGATCAGCCAAAAAAAGGTGAAATGTACATGATCATAGGATTCAAACTTGACAATGTCTTCAATAATCAGTGCCAATTCGTATATAGCTTTAGCATACGGATACTCTATATGATAAATGCCAAACTGATCAACTTCAAATTTATCTTCTAAATACAGAGACAGTGGATACCATATCTGGATGTTAATTCCACCGTATCTCCCTAATTGCATAAATATATATTGTGTATCTTCTATAGTATAGTTAAGATTTACACCACGGTTTAGTCAATACCCATCGTAGGGTTTGATTTTCAATTATTTGTTGCTGAACTCCACATGGTATCAATATATCACACAGAAAGTACACTTTTGATATTTTAGCGATAACCCACGTAGGCCTATTGATGCACCTCTAAATGCAAATGCAAAGAGGTACACTAAGGTGGCCAGGAAAAAAAAGGAATTACGGGTATGTTGATTTACTTAGCTTGTGTACCTGGTTGAACATCATCTATTTTCTGAGTCCCGTATGTCAATTTATGCATGTCCAACGCTCATCTCACTTAGCTACTTGATTTAGTGGTATATGAGAAGTGCTGTATTGAAAACGAATATTATTTTCTTTGCATGGACTGATGGACATCTAGCCATAAATATTATACAAATCAGATGAAAAGGTTGTAATTGCTATGGACACATTTGGAAAGGATGGATGCAAGCAGGAGATCATAAGGACCTTATAAATATAGCTACATAACATTCTTTATTTTGGTGTTTTCCCTTTTGAAGTTTGAACTTCATTCCATAAGTAACCTTTAACAAGCAGAAGAGAACAAAGACGATACTGAAGAAGCAGTAGTTTATAACTTTTCGTGCTTTCCTTTAAATAACTATCGTAAGTTCTGAGATAATCTATCATGGTGCTTTTACGATGGAGAACGTTGTGATTCTGCATGATATCTGGCCATTCCCTACTTCCAAAAGCAACATTGAAAATGACTTACAATTTGATTGATGAATTCCAAGGAGCATCCCTTGAAAAGAGGAACATTTCCAATATATGACTTATAGAGAGTTTGAGATATCTGCAAGGAATGACAACATCATTTGATATCACTACAGATAGAAGATAAGATTAAATGACTAATATAACATAATAATCCAAACAATGTGTATGCTAGAACTTAAACAGGAAAGAGCTAAATACTTGGTGGAAAAGGTGCTGATATTATATGAACATAACTGAGCTCATCAGATGTTTCTTTTTGTTTTTACCTTGGCACGTATAGAAATTGGAAGGTCGTGAAGAATAGCAGAATCAGTGTAGCTGCTCTCATACTGTAATCGCAGGTGACCTTTGATCTGATTGCGTATGTCTCTTCCAAGTCTATTTCTGTTCATATATTTAAGGAGATCTGTCATTCTGTCCCTATATCTTTCTGTTTTTGATCCTTTCACAATTAAGGCTGTCATGTTACCAATCAAATAAGCACCAAGAATCATGTCAAATGAGACATAGACCATTACGAATATCATCTCTCTCAAATTGACTGCATGGATATCCCCATAACCTGTAGAAATAAGTCCACAAACATTCAGCTAATCAGAATATGTCAATCAACCAAAACTTTTATGAGCAGTGACATGCAGCAATAAGTTTCTACTAGTGATGTTCTATTGAGGAGTAGCAATCTTGATCACAATCTACAATGGCATCTATTGTTAATTTTCTTGTTCTTTGTTCAGTCTTGGCCTTGAAGCTTTCTCTTTCCCGTTTTGGGTATCTGTTTTGAAGACTAATCTGTCTTCCAACTTGAGGAGTGAGTTTTGGTTTTATCAATCCTATTCCCGTTACAAGCTTAGGATTAATTTCCTATTATGCTCGATTCACTTTGGTGCTCTGGATGAAAGACATTTGAAAGCCTTTTTAAATGTAATGATATGAATTTTACGTTGCTGTGACATGCAAGGTCTGCGTCCAGTCTATCCCTTTTTTTAACTTTTAAGTTGAACCATAAGTTATGCCATAACATAAAGATCACACCCAATTTGAGAGGAAACCCCACAGAAACAAAGGGAAATTATCGTTGAAGTTCTAATGGTTCACGCAAGACCGCTGACTAATAAGCAACTGATGAACCTGAATAAAACTTGATAGGTTCCTGAAAGTGAATGATAAATGAAAGCATGTGGTAATTTACACCATCATTAGCAATTTATTACTCAACTTCCAATTTTAGTGTAATCTTGTAAAAACAAAAACATAAATGGTTTCCATAATTCCATTGCTTTATGTAAACCAGAATGCTTTCAATTTATATTGATGAACTTACCCACTGTAGCCATAGTAATGATAGCAAAATATAAGGATGTTGTATAGCGCTTCCAAATATCAATTTCTCTGAAGCTTGAGTAACTATAATCACCCAGTTTAAGACTCCCAATCCAGGTGTATCCTTCTTCAACTGCTGGCAGAGTTGTAGCCAAATAATAGAATATGCATGCTGCCGTATGTGTGCAATAGAGTTCAACAGCAATAAGTTTTATGATCCTTGAGAACAGATAGTTAACCCGTATGTCCTTCTCCAGCCTTGAAAAAAATTCTAGAACTTTGCGTACTCGAACCAACCTAATTAGCAAAAGGTACCTCACTTCTTCTTTTCTTCCAGAAGCCTGATTGACAGAGTTTCCTCTCAGTTGTAATATATATAGTCACTTCATATCATACCTAAGAAAAACTTGTTCAATAAATTTAGTATTATGGTTCCATCATTGTGATGGCATGCTCAATTTGAAGTTTGAACAACATACAGGCAATATTCATCAGATGCTATGAGCATTATTAACTGTAGGGGTGCAACTTATTTAAGTCATGAGTGAGTTGAAACAAGAAAGCTATCAAGCTATGAACTTTTTGTACGTATGAGTTATCGAGCATACCCTGTAGATGTTATCCCAAGGCATACAGGCAAGTATATCAAACACAAAATGAGATCTGAGGTACCTGCAATAGCAAGAAATTTTATTGTAACGACTAAACACTACATGGTACCGTAGCAGACAGTTTTAAAAAGAATATTCATTTAGATAGAAAATAAACTAACCGAACAGCAATCAGATTGCCACTAGAAATCATTTTGTAGGTCTGACTGTCTCTGTAGGCTACAAAGAATTGTAGAACAACGTCGACCAGGAAAGCTACCTGACCAGCTATGTCCAAGAAAAAGAGGTTTTCAGGTAATCCCCTGAAGAAACCGAATTCCATAGGTGTGAAGAAAGAAGAGTACACTGCCCATATTAATATGAATTTCTCCCAAGCTCGGTACCAACTGCATTGGAAAGTTCTCATGCATGTTAGCCAAAAAAACAATATACAACTATGAGAAAAAGATTCTGATTTTAGTTTAGATTTAATACTTTAAAGTGGGTTCTCTAATTTCATGTCCTGGCAGCAGCATTAGTTCAAGCAAAGATCGAGATAGAAGTGAAAGTGTTGTGTTTCTCAGCTGTTATCTGCTATTTTTTGGTTGGCAGGTGTGTTTCTCAGCTGTTTCTCTGCTATTTCTAGTTGGTAGCTGTCGTAGACAGTGGTAATAAGATTTAAACAATTGTCTTTGACATGATACAGTGACTTGATCAGAATTTAATTAATTTACTGAGAATAATAGGATGTTTTTCACTTTTGCGTATCAAGTGAGTGACGGTGTGAGAGAGCTCCCTTCAGCTGATTTAAGCAAATTGGGTTGGTTGTGTCATGAGAACAGTACAAGCACACAACCATTGTATCTACTATTTTCTTCTATTCCAGCAACTTCTTAACTTAATTACAATCTTATAGTTATAATACTGCAGTTTTCTATACACGTCGCTTTTTTTATTTATTTATACAACTTCAGCTTACCAAAGAAAAAGCAAGGGGTCACAATATAAGAGTCTGATTACAGAAGAAATAGAATATGCAAGCAACCTAGTGAAGAAGCGGCTGCTCGTGGATGATTGAGGCGTTTTTGTTCATTTTGGTGGTATAATTGAGGCGTTTTTGTTCATTTTTCCCAACACCAAGATAAATATGGTTTCTAACAGAGCTCCAATCAAAGACGTCGAGATGCAAATGCATTGTTCATGAACAGTTAATACTTCCGATACAACTCATATTTTCAAGAACTAAATAGATTATGAGCAATTGCAATAAAAAATTGATAAATAAATAAATAATCAAATATATATTAATATAGTGTTTAATAAAATAGATCAAGTTATATTAATCTTTTCATCTTTATTTATTCTCGTTACTAGTAAATAAAACCAACTATTATATTTTTATTTCGCACCATATCTATACTATATTATAAAACATTTAATAAAAACTCTTAAAAAGCTATTTTTTATACATGAAGTACTGTATACTGATGCATATTACTTAAAATTCAGGATTACAAGTAAATTATACATAAGTACAACTTATTAAAGCTCTATGTTTGAATTCGTGTAACTAACTTCGGATAAATATAATCAAATAGATGATAAACATCTCATTTTAAAATATAAAAAATCTAAAATATAATTAGGATAATTATCGATCTCTAACAAAATAATTAATTATTATCTTTTAAGAAAATTATATTATTAAACTAAATATAAATTACTTCGTTATTAAACGTAAACTAAAATATAATAAAAAAATTGAATTAAAAAATTACACAAATATGAATTTTTAATAGTTAATTTGATACTAATATCGATATATTTTTGTTAAATTTTTATGATATATTTAAATTTATATTTTATTCAAAAATAAAAACATCATCTTTTTTTCAATATAACATAAAACCATACTATAACATCGACTGAGATAATAATAAAATGAAATATTAAAATCAAAATATATCTTATTGCATTGTACGAATACCCTTCTAGTATATCATATATGGGATATACAGCATAAGCATATTAAATGTTACGAAATAAGTTTTTATCCTTATATTGTAGTTCAAACTTTCATGATTTCTCATCTCAGAATATTTTATAAAAGTATTAAATTTAATTTTATATTTGTGTGTTGTCTAATAAATTGTTAAAGATGTATCTATAAATATACAATGAAACATATATTTTTATCATATATGATTTCTTACTCTTATTTAAAACTATTTATTCAAACTTATGCTCTACTTTTTCCATTTAAGAAAGAATTTCTTGACTTACTCCGTACATTTTTGTTTGGTAGAAAACGGAATCATATTTTCAATTAATTTCTCTATCCATAACAAATTGTTAGTATTCTATGCTAATTGGATTGATTAATATTTTCCAATGTTTAAACCGTACGTAGTTCAATGTTTTCAAAGAGTTTTTTACGGGATACCAATAATTTAATTGAATAATTTAAACATTTTATCACGGTTGGGATGATTAATTAATTGAATAATTTGAATATTTCATCCCAGTTGGAATATTTAACTAAGTTTTGAAAAATCTTGTCAATGTTAACAGGAGAACAGATCCTCATGGGAAACTTCATGTGACTTATAAGAAACAAAATAAAAATTATTTCATCCACATGTATAATAATTATTACTAAAAGGAATCAAATTTGGCTTAATTAGAATCCACAACATCGATCAGAATCTATTGGTTAGATTTAACGTGAATGGTCTATTTAATTATGTTATTGCATTTGATTTTTTTAATTCTAAGTTCACATAAATATATATACATAAATATATATACATATATATATATATATACATATATATATAGGGTTGGGTTCACGTGAGACCAGCCTGTTTTCGTGAGACCCGTGAGACCACATTTTTACACGTAACCTTCACAGCAAAAACACTGTGAAGGTTTAAAAAAAGTCGAACCTTCACAGCAAAAACACTGTGAATGTTTTAAAAAGTCACCTTCACAGCATTTTGCTGTGAAGTTTCAAGTGTAAAATGTTGGTCTCACGGGTCTCACGAAAACAGGCTGGTCTCACATGATCCCAAGTCTATATATATATACATATATATATACATATATATATATACATATATATATATAGGGGCCTAATCAAATGAGAACTGATTAGTTTGTGGTAACTGTGAGAACCAATGTGAACCAATCATTTAAATAATTAATGTTATATCCTAAAATAACATAAAGGGTAAATTGGTAATGTTTACCCTAACCCTCTTGTTCTTCCTACTTTCATCGACTAACCCTATTTTTCTATTGCTACTTCTTCTTCATCAAGTCGGCCGACGATTCCTTCTTTCATCGACTAACCCTATTTTTCTATTGTTGCTTCTTCTTCTCCATCAAGCCGGCCGATGATTTTCTTCATCAAGCCGGCCGACGATAACGCCGCCCTCACACTCCCGCTGGAGATTGAACAAGGTATTGCTTTCATAACTTGTCATGTTGGATCCGATTCCATCAACACTAGAAGATAGAGGACCATTCATCACAGGGGCAGATAGTTCACGAGACGCTATATTGATTTTGGCAGACCCAACAGATTCCTACTGGACAGAAACAGGTGCTTGAGCCGACTGCAACTCCTTCATGAAAGCAATCTCCGGCATCAAAGATGATTACGCCGATCCAAGTCACTAGCTTCAATATTAGGTACCGGAGGAGAGACAATATTTTAGGAACAAACAGGTGTGTTATGTCTCCCCCTGTCAAGGGTATGTCTCCTATTGTCAAGGTGTATCACAATGTAACATAGTGTATCACAGTGTATTACAATATTCAGTTTCATTATTTTTCAAGGGTATGTCTCCTATACACTATCAAGGGTATTGTCAAGGGTATGTCTCCTATTGTCAAGGGTATGTCTCCTATACACTATCACAATGTAACATAGTGTATCACAATGGTATCACAGTATATCACAATGAGTATCACATTGTGTATCTTTGTGATTAATTGGTACCTACCGGAATAATGTTGGACGGAGGACGGAGGACGGAGGCCTGAGATTGGAGGTCGGAGAGAGGAGAGATGAGTTTTTTAAAAATACCTAAAATGCCCTCTAATTATAATTTTAACTTAAAATACCATAATTACTAATTTCCTTATTTATCCGTTGATTTGTGGCTCACATTGGTTCTCACAGTTACCACAAACTAATCAGTTCTCCCTTGAATGGACCCCTATATATATATACATATATATATATATATATATATATATATAGGGTTGGGTTCACATGAGACCAAGTTGTTTTCGTGAAACCCGTGATACCACTTTCTTACACTTAAAACTTCACAGCAAAACGTTTTGAAGGTAAAAAAAAATTGGAACTTTCACAACAAAAACACTGTGAATGTTACCTTCAAAATGTTTTTACTATAAAGTTTCAAGTATAAAAAAATGGTCTTACGAATCTTACGAAAACAGATTGGTCTCACATGATCTCAAGTATGTTTGTATATATATATATATATATATATATATTATATATTACATACAATTAATATACACTCATTTAAAATATATGATAATAAATTATAAAATACGATCATATTTTCTATCTATTTATATCAATGTCACATATCACTAAATTGATAAATATTTTGATCAACCTTTTATTAAAATAAACACAGGTCACCAAATATCTTATCTTCCGGTTTGACTTTGCTAACTTTTTAATTGTCGATCCTTATGAATCAAGACGAGACCAAAACATCTATAATTTAGGCTTCATAAAAACCTATTTTTTTTTATTTTTTTCGCATTATTTCTAACTTATTTAATTTAGTACTTATATAAAACTACGCAATTGTAGTGTTATAAAATATTTTTTTCAAGAGAGATTTTATAATAACTTAACTTTTGTATTTTTTTTTTCTTATCAAATAATTTCCAACTCATCAAATTAATAATTTATATAAAACTTTACATCGCTAGTTCTTATCAAATAAAAACCTATTTTGTGGCTTCATGTATAACATAAGTTAAATAAATATATACATATTAGTTATTATATTGGATATTAAAGTCAATATTATATATAAAAAAACTAACAAATTATCATTTCACACCAACTTTAAGGTAATAACCAAAATTCTTATACAAGATTAATAAGGTGAGATTCTTATAAGAACTCTTTACAATGTTAGTTATTGTAAAAAATATACACTTTTTGCTTATAATAAACTTGCATTGGAGATGCTTTAAGACCATGTCCAAACTAACTATTAAAAATGGTAGGTCAATTGAACACTAAAAAATCAACTTAAAACACACACTTAAAAACATCTTTAATATTATAATAAAAAATAATATATGTACTTATAAAAACTTAATATTATATATTATAAAATTATAAAAACTTGATATAAAATTAATATTTGATTGAAGACCAACTTTATTGAACTCCTTCAAATATAGAGGTCAATAAAGTTGACCTCTATTTTTTTAGTGTTTTACTGATGGGTTGGATATGAGAACACCTTCATTTTTATGTTTATACTGTTCTTAGTGTCAGATTGAAGATGCCCATAGAACCCTTTATGGGTCCCATATATTTTTTCAATATCAAAATTTTGATATAAATACCTCACACATACATAAAGACCTAATAAAATGTCATCTCACACAAAATTAAAGGTAAAAACAAAAGTTCTTGTAAAAAAACTTTAAAAATGTTGGCAATTAGTTATAAGAACGACAATTGTATAAGAACTTCTCCAATTGTCGTTCTTATAAGGACCTACCATTGAAGATGCTCTAAATGAGCTCGTGATAAAGCTAGAGATACATAAAAAGCCCGAAATTTAAGACCAAGCTTCAGAAAATCCGTTCCTGGCAAATCTCACCTACAAGCTTAATTGGGTCAAAGAAATTTCAAAAGCCTAAATAAGACATGATTAAGCTTGAAAAAGTCCGAAATAGTTTGGCCTTGCCCTGGCCCAGAAAAACCTCGGGCTCTATATTTTTAATGCTAAAAACGAGTTTATAGGGTTCGATTTTTGTGCATCTTTAGCTAAGGTTGTGTTTGGCAAGCTAACCGACAAAACTAATTATTGATTAATAAGCTAGTTGTTAACTTATAAGTTAGATGATAAATTAGTCATGTTTTGTAAAAATTATATGATAAACTATATAACAACATAAAATAACCTAAAAACATGTTGAAAATTTACTCATTTTAACACAAGGGCATATTTAAATAAGAATGAGAAAAAAAAATGTTGAGAATATGATAGTGACAAAAAAATCTGATGAAAAATATACACAACAATCTAAATGTCAAATCATAAGACTAAAATGCTCGTTTTTTAATAATTTATTTAGCTCTAATATTACATATATTTCAGCTATTACTGATTTGTTTTGTAGTAAAAAAACACTTATAACCATCTTCTTAATCTTCTCTTTTTTACCTTGTTGAGATATATCCTCAAAATTTTAACATTTTTTTGTCGTTCCCCTCTTTGTTGCAATATAGAGGAACATAATTGGAAATGCGTCAAAAGTGAACAAATTATTTCAAGTAATTTTCAAAAATCATAGCCAATGAGTGTTTTAGTTTCCAAAAATAAGCTAATTTATAATTATTAATATATCTTTTGAAATTAGTAATTTTAGTAATTATAAATTAAAAATTCAAATAAACGGTATTACGAGTATTCTGAAAATCTTCTGTCTATAAACAATGTGAACAACTTGTGAACACCATCAATTATATACACCGATGAGCACATAGTAAACAATGTAGTGACCACATGAATACTATAGACTTCAAACTAAAGCAAACTAAAAACTTAGTTTTAGTTGTGCACATAAGGTGAACACTACTATGAACACCGGTGAGCACATAGTGAACTAGGTTAAGGCATAGTAAATGAAGAAATTGATGTGAAAAAATCATCAAGGTTAACAAGTAGTGAACACTATTGAGAAGAGTCATTGTGATAATAAAGAAGAGACGCGTGAAATGTAGCAAAATTTAGATTTAAAATTCAAAATACTAAGGTAAACATGGCATGTTAGCTAAAATTAAGGAAATGAAGATGCATAGAATAACATGATTTGTTAAGATGTAAATTAATTAATTATTGTTTTATCCTTTTATTAATAATTAAAGGCATATTATTGGTAGACTAAATTATTTGTGTGTAATACTGTTTCTCCAAGAGAGAGAGAGAAAATCATGCAAAAAGTTAAACATTTTGTGAGATTACGTGAAGTTGCACATTTTGCAAGAAGACGAGAAATATGATTCATATGATTACACGGTTTTTGGCTATGTTTAATCGTATATGATTAAGCATCTATGCATTATCATTGTAACATGTGTTTAATCATATATGATATCACAATTCTCGTTTTCTTGTAAAATATTTAGCTTCTCGTTTAAACTTATCTATATATATATATATATATATATAGAGAGAGAGAGAGAGAGAGAGAGAGAATTTCATATACAAATATGTAACTTTTGCAAACTCTACAAACCTAATTAATCTTAGCCCTTGATATTGTTAATCTATTTTGAAATTTAAAGGTATTTATCAATTGTGGTAAGGGTATAAATTTAGGAAGATCTTTATTCAATTCATATCGTTGATTATCTAAATGAACATGTGGTTGAGATCATTTTAAAGAGTTTATAGCAATGGTTTATCTATATCTTATAAAATGTTTTATGTTTGATATGAAGTATGGCATACATAGAAGTCGTTGATAAGGAGATTGAATGCGTGGCAAATACTGGACCTAAATAGGCTATTTAAAACGTAGCCTCTTTTGTACAATGGAACACGTCAATGGCGGCTAATATATTTTACAGTGATCCTTGATGATTCATATCTATCATGTTAATTAAGTGGTGGTGTGACATAATTCTTGATATTTTCCCAAACAAAAGTTGAATAATGAGTAGATTGATAGGGACAAAAAGGACTTGCCAAACAAATGGCAAAAAGAGCCAAAACTAATCGGTATGATATAGAGAGAGAAAGTAGAATGTGTGTGTGTGTGTATATATATATATATATAAAGAGAGAGAGAGAGAGTACGGGAGGGAACCTGTTTTGAGGATGGATGAAGAGACCAGGGGAGCATCCTCTGATGCCATCGATGAATTTCTCTGTGTTGAAACCTCTACGAGTCGGATCTAGCCCTAAATCTCCTGCCAATAACGTGAACCGACTCCGACGTTTTGCTAACCTCCCGTGATCGTGATCCCGAACGTCCTCCACCACATACTCCTCCGCCACCACTTCATCCTCATCCTCATCCTCCACCGCCTTCTTCCTCTGCCTCTCCCTCTCCTCTTCTCTCTCCTCCACTGTCAACGTACCAATCCTCATGATTCTATGAATCCAATCAAATTAGCATCACCAACTGTACCAAAATGTAAGCTGCTTGATCAATGGATCAAACTTATAAATTTACATACATCGATGTTTTCATAGGTCAATGCGTATCGACTACCGACCAAATTGATTGATTGAATGATGGAGTGAGTGATCTACGTACTCACTGGGGCAGCAAATCAATGGGATTAAACTAGGGTATTAACTGTTCGAAAAGACAAAAATGTCACGAGAAAATGAGGTCTGAAATCAAGTTGAGAAAGAGATGGAAAGAGAGAGAAGAAGAATTTGTATGGAAGATGAACATGGATGTAGAAGACGACGATCCCACTATTTATTTACGCCATTCAGAATTAAAGTAATATATAAAAACTGATTAACTAAAAAACACACACTCGTACTATTAAAAAAAAAGCAAAATACATAACAATATAATATATTTTGATATTTATTTTGATTAACCTGGATATCCAACGTGAGCCGACTAATCTCAGGATCACTACCTGTTTTGCAGATAGTTCGGAGTTACAGCATTTGAACTTCCGTGGTCACAAGAGGATTTTTATTTATCCTTGGATTTGAACCTGGGACCTCCTGTTACTTTTGACTTTTGGAGCCAAGTTCAAACCAACCTAACATTATCCTTGTGGTTATATATTTTGATATTGTTATATATATAAAATAGAAATTTGTTTACATACATTGTATTTGCATTTTTTTAAGTAAATCAAATACTTCGATGTTTGAGATTTTACATCTAAGAGTACCAAAATAACAAAATTATAAAAACATGTTACATAAAATAAGAATTGGACCAATATATCCTTGTATTTTTGTACAATTTACCCCTAAAAATTGTTAATAGATGGTTAAGATATATGCAAATATTTTCTCTTATGTCAAGACATGGGTGTAAATTTATAGGCCGTTTATTAAACGTTTACCAGATAATGTTTTTCGGGTGTCATTTACCTTATTGGATGAGCATAACAAGAACCAATAATTTTACCCCGATAAGAGGCATATCTATATCTATACTAACTTATAAACCAGATTTATTAAAAGTCTTAAAAACAGTTTTTGATGCACAAAGTACTATACATTTATACACAAAGTCTTAAAAGTCTTAAAAAACAACTCATAATGCATTAAGTACTACTACTTTATGCATTCAGTCTTAAAATCTCTGAATCTACAATTAAAATAACATATAGTACAAGTTACCAATGCATATTATATATTACTTTTTTTTTCATGTTCCCAAGATACTTTTGACACCTTTCACTCGTGCATTCACCATCTCATACCTCTATATTTTCTCCTCATCCCCCAAAGTGATATTCAAATTGATATTCACAATGAGTTATTAAAAATCTCACACTCATCTCTCATTCAATTGCTCTAGAACTCTCAGTCTCGCTCTCGATCTCTCGGTCTCGCTCTCGATCTCTTGATTCCTTGCTCTTGGTGTAAATCGAATACATTTGTGGAGTCGTTTAAATATGTTGGATTTTTAAATTGTCATATAATTTTTTTTATCGATAGACTGTAATTGAAACAATAACTCTTATTTATTCAAATTGTAATAATATATAAAGACCAAGTGTAACTTATATCATCATTAAATCTTCTCTAATAAAACCAGTGAAACTTCAAAATCGTTAAATGTAATTATTGAAATTGTAACTTAGTGGTTTGTACTGCATTGATAATTATGATAAATTATATTTTATTTTTAATTAATTAATTTAATATCATAATATATTGTTTCAGTAAATACCCTCACTTTTGAAAATGTTCAAGAACTTTCAAAATTAAAAAGATTTTGAATTTTAATTTTGAAGCCAAAGTGAACTTTTTATATATTCTTTCTAAACCCATAGTGAAGAAAACAAATATCAATTAGAATTTTAACCAATGAACAAATTAATCAAAATAATATTTTACTATTAACAAATTAAATGGGTAAATTAAGAAATTGTTAACCTAACACCCAAATCTCATTAAGATATGTTAAGATACTTAGGGGCTGTTTACCTAAATACTTACTCGGTAAATGCTTACTTTCAGGAGTCAACACTATAATTTATTTTTTGGGTAAGATTGTAGTACATCAAAATGTATTCCATGCAACAATTTTCTTGGTAAGCGCTTACCCGGGTAAGAGTCGTCACCCTCACTTACCGGGTAAGAGTCGTCACCCTCACTTACCGGGTAAGACTCTTCATCCTTATCCTCGTTCTTACCGGGTAAGATTTTTGGCCCTTACCATATTCATCTGGTGAGAAAAATTACCCGGTAAGTACTTACCGGATAAACGTTTAGTAAATGGCCCCTTAGATTAGATAATGACAGGTTCATGACGATATCATCAGTCTAAACTAGATTGGATTGTCGGTCCTTTTATATACTGGATTTTTTAGAGTTGGAACGGATAAATTTGTTGAGTTATGGTTTGTTGTAAACTTGTTTTAATTAGAAATGATTAAAGACGAATTAGGAGGATGATCAATTATGATGTTCGCTTTAGGTTTATTGTGTGTCCCTAATATGATCAATCTTCCATGAAAGCTTCAAATCTTCAATGGCAGAATATGTTTTCTTGTAAGAACCCTAGAAGGAGTAGAGAGAAAAAGTCAAGGCTCAAAACTAAGTCAAACTCTTTCTTTACGTATTATGAATATTACAATGAAGTTTCCTACAAATTACAAAGACCTCACCCTATTTATAGGGTCAAACAACTAAACAAGGTCAAAGTCAAACTTCTATAAGAAAAGTCAAACACGATGACTTTTATACAATTATAGACACTATTATCTTTCAAGACGAATACAATTTTACACTGAATTTCATTCCTAACATTCTCCCCTTTGTATTCAGACTTGAAAGAAATTGCGCCCTTTGAGTCTTGTTTGAACTTTGAAACTTTAAACACACTATGTCTACTTCAAAAACAATCTTCAACATAAAACTTCAGACAATCATTAGTTGAGAAAGATCTTCTAACATTCTCCCCCTCGAATGTAGAACAACGATGATTTTCTATTTTAACGATGTAGATCAGAAACAATAACGAACTTTAGAAATGATCTTCAGAAAATTTTCTCTTCAAAGGTAGTCTTCATCAGCAAACTGTTGTAAAATGGATCTTCACATTCAATATCTCTCAGTCATTTTAGCATAGGAATAATCTTTTGTAATTATCTCCAGTCGCATTCATTTTGAGTCTTTTGCCATCTTTGAATTTACTCCCCCTTGATCTTTACATCAAATTCCCTTTATAATGATCGGAATTGGACATTTCATTCATTATTACATACTCCCCCTTATGATGAAATGAGAATCATTCCATCATAAACAAGAATGAATGAAATCCTCCGCGTAAGCCGTCAATTCAAGAAATAGTAAGTAGATCTTTTCAAATCCACTTGTTTAATCTTTTCAGATTAAGGGAATGAAAAAATAACACCCAATTTCAACGAATGAAATTGTTTTCAATCTTATAAACAGATTGACCTGTGAGTATAACAGATATACTCAGTACAACGGATGTATTGTATATATGAGACTTTTTGATGCTCATCTCACCAAGGCTTCCATTCAATCATCAATAGCTTAATTATAGCATATCTATGAATGTTTTGGCAAAATAACATATAAAATGCAAAATCTGTGTAGTGTAGAAAGATAAAGCAACGTATGTTTCTGTTTAGGCTCAAAAAGATAAACCGTGTGGACTACACAAATTTATTAGACTCAATTAGTGATCAAAAAAGACTTAAAGGATGGACATATATCCTTCTGATTCAATATCAACTTTCTCCAAATGAGAAATTGATAGATGATGAGCTGCGATCCCCAAGTGTTATTGAAACACTTATCTGTTGAGAGACAAATGAGTAGCTGGTGGGGTTGTGATAAGAATTGGCCTGGGCTTTGCCTTTTTCAATATTAGTCTTGAAAGAATTGAGAACTAATAGATAATGTGGTATGCCCGGATTTTAGTAGTTTGGTACAAGATTCTTATGTTCTTTTAATCCTGACACAACTCTCGTCAATTCTTTTAGCTCACAACAACTACCCCTCTCATTTTCATTTTAAGCTCAGCACACAAACCCTTTTGATTTAAACTCACTCAGATGTGGTTGTCCTCTTGGGTAGGTCTGTCGGTTTTGACATTCCATAGAGGTATTTCTGATAAGCACTCAGTCCCTCCTAAAATACTGTAAGATCAGTTGATCACAATGATTGATCAAAATTATTATTGCAAATAAGCATAATGATCAGATAAAAATTGATCAAAAAAATTTGGCTTTAAACACAATCAACGAAAGAATGATGCGACAAAGATCAGATTATTCGATATGCGAAAGAAATGAATGAAGATCTGTAAGAACGAGTTTACAAATTCTGATATTAAAAAAATATTGAATGTATATCAATCAACAAAAAACAATATTAGAAAACAAACTTGAATACAAACGAGCGTATTATCATCGAAAATGATTTTCGTATAACAGACGTGATAATAACAGTTTGAAGAATAATTGAAACATGTATTGGAGTTATGTACGATGAGAAATTACATAAGTAAAATCTCAGGAAATACCTGTTCAGAAACAGTACTCGTTTCCCAAAAACAACTCATTTATCAAAAACTTTATTGAAAAACTTCTAGAGACTCCCCCTAGAAAGTTGATTTCAGTAATGTTTCAGTTTAGCTCAAAAGAATAAAAGAAATGAAGAAAACATTTTAAGCACGGGTCCTAAACTGAGTGTTTAGAAACCACACTCGGTAAAGCACGGGTCCTGAACTGAAATGTTCAGAAGCCATTGTTGGACAGTGTACAACTCCCCCTGCATTAGTGTATCAAATAAATGATATTTTGATCAGCACAATTTTGATACACCTGCAAAACCAGATTAAATAGATTTTGGTACCCAAATGAATTTAGGTCCTACTTTGTTAGTTTCGGGTTGGGGTACATTGTAACTTCCAATCCATCTATTTTTATTAGATATATTCTTTTTAGTCCTATGAACAAGATGATCAGAAATAGAATATGACCCATACCAGTTATTGTGATCATACCTGTTCTTACCTTTCCAACTGTTCTGATAGCTGTTATCTCCATGCCACMTGTTGAACCTTTTCTTATTGACAAAATCATTGGTTCTGCATGTTGAGCACATAATTCTTCTCTTGCTAAGATTGATCAGATCATTAGTGGATCTC